TTCTTTCAGAACCTTATCAAGTGCGGCCCTGTAAGAAGACATCCTTTTGCACATATACATGAGATCTGGTGAGATCAGCTCAGAAGCTTCTCAGGATTTGACTGCTTGAATTTGTTAGTAGTGTTCATCAACACAAATGCTGAACGAACTTGGCTGGTAATCTCAACCTTGTAGGGGGCTTGTATTTATTTGTCTGGCTCATTTGCATGGTGCTGAATAAATGAGTCACACATTTCTGTGATTGAGATTACAGTATACTTCCAGTGGTGCATCTGAAAGACCTGGATGAACACTGAAGCATTAGTGGCTTGTCAATTATCAACAATAGAAAGTTTTAGGTGCACACCTTCTTGAACCATTCACAGTGCTGATGAGGGAAGTATTTGCAAAGTTTTTCAAATTTCTCCATTAGCCAATTGAGTGTACATCCATGATCCATGCAGTGTGATCTCCATCAAATAGCCTGTGTTATGTCACTGACACTGGAAGAATTAGGAAAATTAAGAGTGGTATGTTAACTTGATGTAAAGAATGTACAACAAGTTATGTTTTGACTACAATCTACATTTAGGCTACTGTGTAAGAGACCAGCATGATACTCAAGAAGAAGAAGCTGTTGTTGTAAGTAGCAATAAAGATAGTTGATACTCATAACACTTTCCATCACAATGTGTGACATACCTCATCCTCAGATGTTGCTCATCCAACTATATGTGCCAGAGTTTAACATCTCCATACACATGACCTTTTCTTACTGGAAAAGCAGGCAATCACCTCAGCTCTAGATGACTCAGACAGCCTGGCCTGTCGATGTGCCCTGCTGACAGGTGTATCATGCATAGGCTTTTTTTCCATCTGACCAGAGGGATGGGGGTGTATATTGATATGACCTGGAGCCTATAGACTCTGGCTTTCTGAGGTGCTTATCAGTGACATCTGATGACAGTGAGCTGAATATTTACTGATTTCCATATCACATATTTTGAGCCAGCTTCTCATGCAAACTCCCACTGGAATGAGTTTGAGTATGAGATAGTATGATGTTTGTGCTTGGAAGAGACATGGTAGATGCAATGGATCATAAATGAGGTAAACACTGTGTGATAGAAGAGGCAATATCGGCAGAGATGTGTGATATCATGGAGATTTTATCAAATTAGACATCCTGTAGCTGTAGTCATGTGACTGTGTTATTGTTGAACATGATGACATTTCAATGATCTCTGCCCATTTTCACATGACTGTGTATTTGTTGAATGTGATGGCACATCGATGATCTTCTTATATCTGGTTCTGACCATCTCAGAGGCTAAGCTAAACCCTCATAGGTCTGCCCTTTAATAGTCAGCATCTAGCAGCTCAACATTTCCTTCCCCTTGCCCCTTTTAGATAATAATGGTTCCTCTGGAGTCACTTTTATGAACTTTGACCTCCAACCAATTACCTGCTCAGTCCTATCATGTTGTCTTACTGAAAATGCATGAACAAGTCAATTATGTGTGTCTTAACCCTAATAATGAGCTTATTGTCATTGACCTAATCATTGTTAGATGCATGTCTATGAGTGGCATTAGAATTTGGCCAAGGAAACTCTCAAACTGAACACACCATTAAATGAATTAATTTGTGAGTATCACAGGTTTTCTTATTGCTGTATCCTCATTTGTAGCACCACAGTGCACCCAGACATGCATGCCCTTATTAAATTCACCCAATGAGTCCTGATTCCACTTGTGATGCCATCAACAGCATTCACTGCATGACTGATCAGAATTATGCATGTATGGCTGATGATCGCAAGGACAGTGTTTTCATACGTTAATTGTCTTTAAATAATGGTTCTTGACCTGATGTAAGATAATCTAGCTCAATAAAGATGTTCTCTATGAGTATGAGCTGGTCCTTGCTGGACTTGATGTGCCACTATACAGTCACACATCCACCTCTATGGTTACCACATCACAAAAACTGACACATGTAAAGCTGCCAGACTAGTCCGATGAAACTCACCCATCCATTGGACAGTCAAGGTGAGTGCCCAGCATCTGGCTCCACCTGATTCTGTATGTACCAGTCTGCCTGTTTTACAAAAAAATGGCCGTTCCATCAAGTTCTGTGCATCTTTGATTTTGCGATAAGCTGCATGTCTGCCATGTTGCCAGGAGTGGCTTCTCACAATACTGGCCATGAAGGAAGAACTCTGGCCTCTGGGAATCTGGCTCATTGTTGAGCACACAGCCTGCATGAAGGTACCCATTGTGGAGAGCTTGTCTCCTCTTCAACTCTCGATATGGCCAAGTCTTTGGTGCAGTCGGGAGCAAGGTATATCTCAGTCAGCTAAGTGTCACTCTCTTTCACATTTCATCATCACATATTATTGCCAGGAATACAGAGTACATCAGAGATGATACAATAAGCCATGAAACTGCATACACCTGAGCTTCTTTGCTATAATATTTTTAGAGCTCTGTCTTGTTATCAAACATGTCAATGTTCTGGTTGAAGATCTGAAGTACAATGTAGGGGCCATTGATATGCTCGAATGCCACCTCCCTATGGTCCGTGGTCAGGCAGTACTGATCGCTTCATTGCAGAGTAAGGTGAGTATCAACTGCTCTGCTCTGTCTCCAATGGTGTGATAATACAGGAAGATGACTCTTTTTAGAAGGGTGTGAGGCTCGCAAGTTTCTTGCAACAAACTCTAGGATGTGTGGGTAGTGGACGAGTGTGTCACCTGAAGGGTTTGGTGAATAGGTATGATGCAGATGGTTTCATTCAACTGGCTGGCCTGCTGACTGGGGCTAGGATGTAATGCCAGCTTTATCACATGCATGTTGCTGTTTTGAGGGATGAACCCATGTTACCTCAGCTTCATGCTTCGAATTGATCACAAATGTGGTCTGCACGTCAATCAATTGATTGCAAATGCTGTCTGAGTGCTAAAGGTTTATTCGCAGATCTGCTAGGTGCAATCGTTCAGACCAGACATCCATCTTAGCACTTCAGGTCTCTTGTTTGGGGTTGTTTGGGTTTTGTTCACAGATTGACTTCAGCGCTTAGACACTGATCACATATACGAGTTGGACACCTAATCTGGACTGTGGGAAATAAAACTCTAAAATGGAACCTGTTCATCTACTACTGCCAGACTCAGATTGGACCTCATTTACTGTGTTCGATAGCTTCATTCCCTATAGTGCACAACTGCTAGAGTTCTCCTGGCTCTGATAGAATGAGTGTAGGAGACCGTACTGAGCCTAGGCGATCACCTATATCTCTAGGCTTGTGGTGCGAGTCTTTCATAGCACAAACTTTGATATCAAGGTCAATAGAATGCAGTGATAGTGAAGTCAATAGATTAATATCAAACCTGAGATGTGTAGAGTGGAGTAGTGGAACTATGGATAAATGATATGGACAAGTTCGCTGCTGCGACCTCTCCCCTCTAATGTTCATTTTGCGAGTAACAGTGTGCCTTATATACTATAATGGCCAGCTCATTACCGAGCTGTTCATTACTATGGGCTATGTCCATGCCCAGTTTTTAGTAGCAGAATATGTGTCCAAAACATGTTTGAAGAAATGTGTCACTTGGGCCTAAATGTCCAGTCTGAGTCTCAATCTCTTCGTTCTAAGTGCGATGAGGCCTTTCATGTTTTCAATTGCAATTCGATCAAATCTTCGTCAGAATCTTCTGGAGCTTGACTTCAGGCCATCAGAGATTGCCAGCTTTGGTAAAGGGGATGCTGCCTGTCTGATGTAATGTGAGACTCATCATTCTTGCTGTCACCGATTCCTTCATTTTTGGTAGCGAATTTCAACTTTGATGTTTTCGCCCACAGGTAGCTCGTTCACCAGCTCATCACCGTTGAGGTCATGGAAGTGGTTGTGTGTCTCCGTTGGCTTGACACTTCTTGCTGTTGCTGCAGTCCCACAATATAATGCAAGAACTTGGATCCATTCTCATCTTGGAAGGCAGATGAGTGGAATACATCTTGTGTCTGAGGTCACAGATGCAGTCCATTATTTCAGGCCTCTCTCTCATCTCAGTTATGAATGACCTCTTAGAGCAGATGCTCGTTAGGGTGTAGAGTGTCTTATGATTCTTGTAAGCATTAAGAGTATAAAAATGAATTCACTAGGTTGTGTACAGGAGTTTCTGCATTTGCACTGAGTCCAGCTTTAACAACAACAACACTCTTCTTCTTAGTTGGAACATAACAAGATGCAATGACATCCCACATCATGTTGGCACCAACATCAAGATGAGGCCAAATGTGAGCGAGGACCATGGTGAAAATTTAGGAGAAGCTTCCAAGTATAGATGAGTGATATGACAGAAATCTGTGAGCCTCCTGGACATCCAAGGTTGGGCAGGTAAGGTCAATACATCACTAATCTTTTAAATTGCTCGCAAGACACCATCTTTGAATGTCTCAGCTTCTATTTTGGGGATTCTGACTCATCACCAGACATGAGTCGAGACCGCAAAACAATCTACCTTGTCTGTTTCATGAGGCTCTCTGGTGCCTACAATACAATCTTCTGATTTACCTTGAGGCATCCTATCTCTCATTAATCATTTATCAAAGAGGAGCTGCAAGTTGAGTGTAGGATGATGTGGTTGTGAGACACAGTTGAAGTCCTACATGGAGAGATGTTGGTGCGATCTGATATCTGTAAGTCAGGTGGTTGGACTCACAGTTATTAGACCATGAACTGAATCATTGAACAGACCATGGTGAGGCAATGAAAAGATGAAATGGAAGAGAGAGCCAAACTGAAGTAGTGACCCACCAGTCAAAGCACCTTCCCACATCAACAACCAGCCAATGAATCATGGAGCATGAAGAAAGGTGAAGAAGGCACAGAAAGAAAATGTCATTCTTGTCATTGTGGTGCCTACACCATGGTGGTGGGTTAGAGGTGGGCGTTGGGGAAGTGCTGCTTGATGTGGGGCCAGAGCCAATACATGAAGGTAACATAGGTAACATCTGAGATTACCATCTTGCCAGTATCACCAGTAAGAAGGTCACTGATATGACCAAGTCCATCGAGATGATCAACCCAGAGTCATCAGAGGCTGAGAACATGCTCGACTTGTTGTCATAGTTGTAGATGGCCCACTTCATCAACTTCTGAGCAATGTCATCATCATGAACGAACAAGAAGATTCCCATCGCACGCTGATGGTGACATCAGTAGTGTTGCCATTCTTGATGATGAGCAAGCAGGCCTCATTGTCATGATCGAGCATGTCAGGCTCATGCATGCACTCTTCGATGATCATGTCGTGGAGTGAAAGGAGATGATCATCGAGATACTCAAAGGTCAGCTTGCCATCATCGTGGAGATACATTTTCAAGGTGAACTGGTTGGATGGGATCTCCGTACCTAAGTGTAACTGTCAGACTAGACAACCTCAAGTAAGATAAATCGAAACACACCAAGATCGATGAAATCACCCTTGAACACATTCTTGAAGTTGGAATCATTGAGCTCGAATGCACTCTAGTCCTCAGTAAAGCCTTTGAGACTGACATTGAAGGTGATGGTGAAAGAGAAGCAGATATAGTTGATGATGTGCTGGCTGAGCTTTCTCCACTCCTTTTTGATCTTCTCGTAACACTTCTCGAGGTCCTCAATTGCCTCGTTCAAGTCATTCAACAGGCCTCAAGTCTTTTTCAGCTCCTTCTTCACCTCTGCAACATCACCACCACCCACCATTGCCTCTAACCTCTTGATCTGCCCCTCATAAATCTCAACCATGATACTGTGATGACTGATACATATCTTGATGGAGTTGAGAAGCTTGTTGAAGGCCCGAGTGCTGAGCAGCTAAACATACTGGTGAGGTGCACCGGTGCCCACAAAGATGTTGTCATCATTGGTTGTCCTATCTATCTTGAAGAGGATGTGGTGACAGGTAAGACCCAACACCTTGTCACTGTTGCCACCCTCGGTGAAGTAGAGGGCAGTGGTGCCCTCAGTGCTGGGCCTGTCGGAGACAGTGATGGGAAGTCTGAGAGCAGGAGTAAGGGGACCGCTGCAAATGTTCACGATGATGTTGAGGTTGAAAACAGAGTGAAGAAGTGCTAGACTGACTGACTGCTTGTAGATGGACTCACAGTATTTGACCTCGACCTCGATGATATTGAAGCTCATGAGAAGGTCAAGGATCTCATTGCCTGAGTTGAAGGTGTCCTCACTCTAGAGCAAATTGGGACAAACACTGACTCAGAGCATGACAGAACTGCAGATCTTCTCATCTCTGTCTCTGTCAGTGATGAAGTGAGTGATGTCGATGGACATCCAAGTGACCCTCTGGATGTTCAGCAGATCTCAAACCAGGGAACCCACGACCTTCCAGACCAGGTGATACTGTCTCTTTGATACATCATAGGCCACTGATCATATAAAAACTGTGATACATACTCTATGTGAATCACAAGCAGTCAGATGATGTATCATCCATGCTGGTCATGATATATTGTGGTAAGCTGTAATGTATTTCTGGTCAGCATACCGCCGTATTAATGATATATCACTCACCAAGGGTTGTTTCCATAATATATCACCAAACGATGATAAGGCACGCACCGGCATTGTATATATACCATGCAGGCCACTGATATATTGCTGTACTCATATAGTGGCATGAGTGATATATCATGTTCGATCAGTTTGAATTATTGCACTGGCCAGTGGTCACTGCAGTTTAGAGTGTGAACATGTGATTGCAAGCCTACTCCCACCCCTGCCTTATCAAAAGAAGAAACTGATTGGTGTCTTAGACATCACCAAGAACCGGCACTCAGATTTGTTATATAAGCAAGTGATGGCTTACCAAAATAATTTTTTGTCAGCTTAAAGCTGATGTAATGGCCCACTGGGTGAAGCAATCAATAATTTGAGGTGAATGATGATAAAAATATTGAAGAAAAAGTTCAAATCTTTTAAGCATCTTTACTGTCAATTTGTGATAAAAGTATTGAAAACATTTTGAACATCTTTTGTTGTGAAAGATGATGAAAAGATTGAAAGGAGATTGAATGAAATATTAATAATCATTTCTTCAATCATTTTACAATCTTTCATACAAAACTATGATGAAAAGTTTTAAAATTTTTTTTTTACTTTTTTTTAGATCAAAGATGATAAAAATATTGTGACAATGTCACAGCCTTGTTTTCATATACTAAGCTAGTACTAAGATATGGAGATTTATACTCAGGTTTATATCTTAGCACTATACTAGTACTATAGTCAGAAGAGCAACACTAAGATTTTAATGTCAGCTAAGATTTAAATGATAGTGCTATACTTGTACTAAGCTAGTACTAAGGTCTGCAGATTAGTACCAAGGTTTGAAGGTTAGTGCTATGCTAGCATAAGCAAATCAGCTAATAGTGACCAAAAGTTTGTTATAGAGAATTAAAGCACATAATCATGCAAGCAAATGAATAACTTTAATTATTTTTATTTAAATATTATTACAGTACCTGCCAAGAGCATTTCACAGAGGCTATCACTCAAGTCCATTATATTTATGATAAAATGTTATAAAATGTGCACAACTAATAATATATTATTGTACAAAAGTAAATGTTATAAAAGCTAAATATAGTGCATTTGATTATATTGATATTATAATATTTTTATAAACATTTGATGAAAACTATAATTGAAGTACTGATATATTACTATATTTGAAAAGCATTTTATCAGAATTATAATTTGCATGCATATATATTACAATATATGCGAAAAGCTTTTAATATAAACTATAATGGCTATATAATTTTATGTATATCTTTATCACAAGCATTTGTGTTTATAGTATAATTGTACAATGTCAAGAATGTCTATATAAATATTAATAAATTATAACACAGCATGAATATTACAACACTGCAAAATAAAACCAGTGCAGTGCATTTAATTATGTAATTATTATAATACTAGTGAAAACATTTCACAGAAAGCACAATTTTAGTACAGGATATTACAATGCCTGCCAGAAACATTTTACAATCAAGTGCAAAGATATTACAATACCTGCAGGAGCATTTTACAAAGGTTACAACTTCAGTGCGCAAGTATTACAATGTCTGCAGGAACATTCTACAGTCAAGTGCAAAGATATTACAATACCTGCAAGCACATATTACAACCTAATGTGCAAGTATTACAATGCTAGCAGGAACATTCTACAAGAATTACAATAGCTATGCACATTGTTTTATCATTCAGTATTACAATATGTGGAGGGGATATACACAATTTTTAGCAGCTCTGTGCAGGACTGTATTACAATTGTGAGACCCACTAGTGTCAACATGCTGATCTTCATCTCTCTGACCCATTCACCACAATATGTCTGCAGTGTTCACATGGCTTCGAGGAGTGGATGCACATGGCTCACCCCATGCTTTAGGATCAATGATGCAGCATGAGCAGTGGTTTTCCTTGCAGCAGGCAATCAAACACTGCTCAGGGTAGTCTGCAATGTAGGCTGCAAGTATCAGAAAAACAACGTGGATGTGACCGTCTGCATACAACATCTGCACACCTTGCTGTCCTGCCTTCTGAAGACCATTCAACAAGACTAACATGCAGTGGTGAAACAGTCAGTATTGCACATTCGACCTGGTCTTCTCCTCGAAACACTCGAGCTTGAAAACTGATATGTAGCCTAATGATGTTGTCATGTGTGCAGATGGCTGATGATGGGTAGCTTTATCAATATTGCTGATGGTAAGATATACTGGGCACACTGTCTTGTTACCACCAAAAACTGACAGTTGAGTCTTATCAGATGTGAGTATCACTGGGGGGCCACAACTGCACCTGCAGAAAGACGCTCCTGCAAGTTTCACATCTGAGTTTGCAAGCGAGTCAGCTCAGAACTTATGAAGCATGTACCTGCATCTTCCACCACCACTCACTTGTGCACATCTCTGAGTACTTTTGCATATCATGATGAGTAACCTTTTCATGTGCATAGCTCATATGTCCCTGAAATGTCATGTTTCCCATCAGTTCCTTGATGCAATCAACAAAATCTCGAGCCCAGATTTTCACCTCCTCCATCATCATGCTGTGCTCTCCAGGGCCTAAACGATCACCCCAAACCTCTATAAGCTCATATCAGCACTCTGGACCAATGGGCAGCATGTCTATCTTTCGCATCAATGCCTTTCTATTCAAAAAACTTGGCTTTGTGTGTGCATGCATCTTTAGTAAGCCAATGCATCATTCATTATAATATTTATACTTATGATGTCAAGCTTCAGAAACTCGTCAATCACAGTCTGTGATGTGCACCTCATCAACCACTTTGCAAGTTCCTACTTCTCGACATCAGCAAATGGTGCCCATGGCAGTTGTCATGTTGCTGACTGTTCTGCCAGATGTTTTTCAAAAATGGTCACTCCATGCCCAAGACTTGCTGCCATGCTGCCTGGGAATGGCTCACATTTGTAAGTGAACAATTCTTCATCTTCAACCTCTTTCACGGTGACCCTCTACCACTTTGCAGGGTTGTCAATGGATGTAGAAGATCGAGACACATGCAAGTAGTAGCCAGATAAGTCAGGAATGATGTCTTCATCAGGTTCTGCAAGGGTAGTGGCTTGCAGCTGCATTGCACCTCGGGTAGATAGCTCATCATAGTATGTTGCACATGTGATTCTATTTCCCAGGTGATGATTCAAGTTGATTACAGATTTGAATGCCTTTTCACAGAATTGGCATCAAGGGCATCAGTTGGTGTGAGAAGATGACATTCTTGCATATGATAATTGTAAGCTACCTCTATCATTCTAACGCATACAGTGCAGTGATAAGTGCTGAGTAGTGGCACTCTCATCTCTAAACTCAAACTGATAAAAACTATACAGAATCTAACCCTCAATCTTGACACCCTGCTCACATTCTGTGAACAATCTGTATCACCAAGATGTCCCATGCATCATCCAAGAACATGTCTCAGGCAGCCACAACACCTCGTGCTCCCAGTACTCGCATGCAACATCTAATAGAAAGGGCACAATATGTCAGTGAGTGGTTGCGAGGCTAATCACTAATTGCATAGAGGCTAACTGTTACAAAGCACAAAGCACTTAACCCAATTAAGGGCAAGTCTGCTTGTGTGACCTGCACAAATGATTTCATAAAAGGTTGCCCTAAGGCTAACCTGAAAAAGCCTGCCACAAGGGCTAGGCTGAGGACGCGCGCAGTGGCATACAATCAACAATTAAGGCAAAGCCTCAATGCATGGCCTTGCATAAAAGGTGGAAGGGGGGAGCTGACCTGCTGCCGCATACAGTAGTATGATGAATCTAAGGTCTTCCCTTAGATTTTCATAGGCTTATATACATGTAAGGCTGGACCCTGATCACTCTAACTATGGTGTACCTATTGAAGTCTTAGCAAGCTACATGTGGGAACACCAGGCCAAAATCAGTAAGGGCTCTGGGAGCAACTATGGCAACTATCTACAAAGGTCGTGGTTACGCCAAGATAATCCTATCTCATCTAATGAGATAATTGCCTGTAAGTGGGCCCACAGTTGAGGGGCCAATGGGTGATGGCCAACAGGGCACATCACAATGGTTGTGACTTCAGGTGAGAGGATCTGTCCATACTCAGAATAATGGGTGGGACGATCAGTCTTCATCTGGATAAGTTGTGGAAAGATTCAGCCTATCCTGTACCTGGCTATACTGTATGTCAGTTGGTAGGGGAATCCCTTGTAGTGCCTGCCTATTGGCTGAGCAGCAAAGTGATGCCACTATCTAAGTGACGAATTGGGTGCTTGCTAGCTTGAGGGAGCCTATTGTGGGCCAAAGAGTTTCTTTCTGGGCAAGTGACCTTGTGTCACATGATCAATGCCTGATAACTTCTGAATAGGGCAAGTGGCTAGTGTCATATGAATGGATGGCTGAATCATGGGCGCTTGGTGGTTATGTGGTAGACACAGTCATATCTGCAATGTATATGGCAGTATTGTGCTGTTTGTCCAAGTATCCACTTTGTGAGATCAATATAAAGGTTGACGTCCAAATAACCACTTGTGGTTGCCAAGTGAGGACTTAATGGTGCAAAAAGAAAGGTGACACCTAATACTGTGACACTAACATGCTCTACATTAACAGAACAGCCTGCAAATAACTGGCCACCTCAGAGATCTGCAAAGTGCCATGCTGATCATGCAGCTGCAGGTCAGTGTAGGCTCTGCTCTCAATGATGATCACTCACATTGCATTTTATAGGCACCTTATAAACAGCTGCGAGTGTTGTGCAACTTAGGCTGAACAAGCCTGAGATAAGGCATATCATGTGAAGGCTCTAACATGGCTAACTTAATATAGCTCTTAATGACATCCATCAACATCATTGACAACTCATGTTCCAGGACCTCTCAGCACATCCATCTTGAGGCTCATCTTAGCACAATGCTGAAAAATGTCTCTGTGACTCCAAACAGGGTTCAGACACCACTGGTGCGTCATAAATCTACCTTTGAGAACAGCGATAGTTAATGTTACACAGAGTGCTCACTGTCTGAGTCTGCAAGCTACTGCCAGGCTTGCAGCTATGTGAAACCAATACATCAGCCCTCGTATCATGTCGCACTTGCTTTTTTCAAGCCCACATCATCATGGTAAACAAGCCATAAGTGCAGAAGGGGACAGTAAGTGTACGGCCCCCTTGAGAATCAGAAATAACTCACTTTCAGCCCAGCTCACTTTCCACAAATGTTTGAAAGTTCAAGCTTTGCCAATGTGAAGAGGAAGACATTTTCACTACAGATGAGGAAGATTGTCGACCTTCTCATCAACACCAGTGCATAAGTAGCCAACTGTTTCTTATTACCATAACAGACCTTGTCAGTGACCTACTTCAGTGCATTCAGGGCCTCTGACTTATGTATGATGCATCTGAGACCTTCAATGAAAGTGAGGGAACTGAGAAAGATGACAGTGATGCAATGTCAGCATGTGACATTCAAGAGCATCATGACGAGCCTGTGAGCCTGTCACTCAAAGTGCAAAAGATTACAGAGTGATCAGGTTGTCCAAAAGCTGCTGACTATGAGGCTCCAGCTCAAGAAGTGCTTGTCGCAGCCATCTTCCACTACGTTGCATACCTAAGTACTGTCAATGCCTATCCAGATAAGATGGAGGAACTGGTTGCTGCCAAGAATGCCTGGTACACAGCATGTAATGACACTGGCATTGAGCTTAGGTCCACTAATGAGCTTGTCAAACTGGCACGTCTTGCAGTGGCACGTATTTGATACATATATGAGATGGTTTGTTAATTGACCTGCACAGATTACACAATACAGTACTCACTTTTGAAGTGAACTTAAGACAACTGCACATGACTATGTTGAGACTGTCTTTGGCTTTCAGACGACTGGCAAGATGACTGTGAAGAGGTGAAACCATGCATTTGTGGAGAAGCTCTTAAAAAATGATGCTTTTGTCTATCGGATGAGTCTCCACATCATCTCATTGAATGCAACTCATTTATGGAACTTGTCAGAAACTCAGAAACATGAATAATCACCATAAGGGGCTTTATCAACATTGGATCATCCAGCTGATTATCAATAGAATGTGGTTCAATGACAAGCGAGATGATGGTGTTGTTCTGGACAAAGTATATTGTCCATTCCCTTTTAGGGCATTCACCATTGTTCTGACAGCTGTAAGCATAAATGTCTTTGTGCACATTTCTTATTGATGAATCCCTTACAGATTGAGTGCACCATCGATGAATGGGTTAGCGGCACACAAGAATATGTAATGTTCACCATCGAAGCCTATAAGCATCATTTTAAGCACCACCTGAGTGCAACCGAGGACTACAATACTACATCCGGTGATCTCGAAATTATAAAGAAGATATGTCAACATGTGTCGGATGATGGATGGTAAGCTTTTGTATTTAATGTCGACTCGCAGCTAATTGAGACAGGTTGCTAGCATCAATGCAAAAGCCATTTCCATTGAATTGGAAGCAACATGTATCCTTGCTGTGAATGATATCAAGAATGTGATTGAGGAGTTTAGATGGAAGGATGAAAGCCTTATTAACTTGAATGACTCTGACAATGAGAGTGAAAATGGCAGTTCCAATGGACAGCCAGAGGTTGAAGATGGATTGGACCACTAGTGAAGGGGGGGTTGAATAAATATGTGCTTGCTCTGCCAATGTTGTAAATGCAACTGCAATAACATTCTTGATACAGCTTCTATGGTGTAAAATGAAGATGACCAAAATATATTGCACGCTGTCACAGTATTAGGTGACATCTTTCTTTTTGCACCATTAAGTCCTCATTTGGCAACCACAAGTGGTTATTTAGATGTCAACCTTTATATTAATCTCACAAAGTGGATAATTGAACAAATAGCACGATACTGCCACATACATTGTGAATACGACTGTGTCTACCACATAACTATCAAGTGCCCATGATTCAGCCATGCAGTCATGTGACACTGGTCACTTGCCCTATTTGGAAGTTGGAAGTTGTTGCTTATGTGACATCAGGCCACTTGCCCAAAATAGAACTCTTTGGTCCACAATAGGCTTACCCAACCTCATTGGACCATTAAGCTAGCAAGCATCCAATTCGTCACTCAGATAGTGGTATCACTTTGCTGCCCAGCCAATAGGCAGGCACTACAAGGGATTCCCCTACCAACTGACATACAGTATAGCCAGGTACAGGATAGGCTAGATCTTTCCACAACTTATCCAGATGAAGACTGATCGTCCCACCCATTATTCTGAGTATGGACAGATCCTCTCACCTGAAGTCACAACCATTGTGATGCACCCTATTGACCATCACCCATTGACCCCTCAACAGTGGGCCCACTTACAGGCAATTATCTCATTTGATGAGATAGGATTACCTTGACGTAATCATGGCCTTTGTAGATAGTTGCTGTAGTTGCTGCCAGAGCCCTTACTGGTTCTGGCATGATGTTTTCACATGTAGCTTGCTAGAACCCCAATAGGTACACCATAGTTAGAGTGATCAGGGTCCAGCCCTACATGTATATAAGCCTATGAAAATCTAAGGGAAGACCTTAGATTCATTATACTACTGTATGCGACAGCAGGCCAGCTTCCCCCTTCCACCTTTTATGCAAGGCCATGCATTGGGGCTTTGCCTTGATTGCTGGTTGTATGTCACTGTGCACCATCCTCAGCCTAGCCCTTGTGGCAGGCTTTTCCAGAATAGCCTTTGGGCAACCTTTTATGTGGATCATTTATGCAGGTCACACAAGCAGACCTGCCCTTAATTGGGTTAAGTGCTTTGTGCTTTGTGACAGCCTGTAGCATAGTTAGATACTGTGCATCATACAGTTCAGCCCTCAGGTGAAGGGGCAAAGTCATGTAAGTCAGACTTGTGACAATCAGGTCACACTCAGAGTCAAATGAATTCTATGGTGTCATTCTTTGAGTGAACATCTGATACAAGGGTTCTAAGATACTCTAGTATATCTCAGAGACATATAATGTGTTTCATGGGCTCTGCTCTGCTTGCTAATTTTTGCGAAGCAAAGGGCAAAGGGGCATAAGTCGTGATGATCAGGTCACAAACGTCAACTGAATTGTAGGGTGTTATTGTTCTTGGAATCTCACAGTCTAAGCACAGCGAACATGAGTCCAGTGTCCAGGGACCTCGATAGAGTTGTTTAGACACAGTCAAACTACCAAGGTATGTACAACTTGAGGTCCGCTATTTATTAATAAGTGCCACCCTCAGATCCTGTCATACGACGCCCACCGGTTGCTAGGGCATATCGCTACAATCGTCCAACCCGGCCACTTCTCCTCGCTTCTGATAAGAGTGTACCTGAGTGTCGCACGCACTCTCCTTCCAACAATTGTTTGAACACGCACTTCATACAAGGATTCTGAGACAATGTAACATATCCCAGAAGAGACATAAAATCTGTTTCATTGTGTCTGCTTAGCTTGCTGCTTTCTGCGAGGCGGTACGACCTCATCGGGCACTTCATACGTGACTGACCAGAAAAGGCAGGCCGTGACTGTCACACTTCCGCGTCCTTCCGCGTCCCTCGCGTCGACCGCGTTAATTTTACCGTGCCCCGATTATATGGGTCGCGCTCAAGATGTGGTCGCGCATCAGAGGCGCCTTGATCATGATCGACGTCGAATTCAGCGCGGAGCCGCGCCATTACCCACAGCCAGCCGCGCTCAGCAAACGTGCGTCCAACGACTCGAGCATACAATCCAACGTGCGGTGTATATACAACCACTACTAGTACAATATCTACGTTAATAAAACGACATCCGTCCGAGAATCAATCACACGAAAATACAATACACAGCGACGAACGCCGGTCCTATCGTCACATATCGCGTTTATGACATGAGAGATAGGCGTGTTGTGGCGTGAAGGGAACAATTAATGGGAGGTGACGAACAGGCTCGCGTCGCCATCGAGCGAAAGATGGTGGATTCGCTGCTCGCCGCGTTCTTCCATGAACCTAGCAGAACGCAGGTGAGATCAGCAGACCATGCAACGCAAGACATGAGCAACACGTACGAGGCATCTGCTCTCACCTCCTCCATCTGTTCACGTCCCTTCGGGATAAAATCCGCACGACACGCATACTACACACCCAACGTCAGCCACCACCCCTGGCTCAAGCAAGCAAGCAAAACAAAACACTCACATGCCCCGGCTTCACCGTCGCCGACGGCGCAAAGCTCGCCGCCTCATCCCTCCACTCCCTCTGCAGCGCCAACAGCGCCTGCTTCAAGCCATCACGGTCCACCTCGCGCCCCGCGACGACCCCGGTGCACTCGCGGGAAAACATATTATTGAACCGCGTACTGAACAGGTCTATCGGACCCGGCGCGTGCACACGCCCGATCTTCGGGGGCGTAAAATGGATGTACGGCGACATCATCAGCGTGTGCAGGCTCTGCTGGAGCCATTCCGTGCTCGTGCGCTCTGCCATAGTCCTGTTCGAAGAAGTGGTCTCGGTTGTAGATAGATTCGGTAACTGAGCAAAGCAAGACTTGAGAGACTGCTTTTGTGGGATGGCACAGGAAGTGGTGAAGAATGCAGCGGCGGACGTGCGGGAATATATAACGTTGTGGTAGAGTTTAAGAGACGCCATCCGCAGGGGCGCACCAGCCCGCGCCGCACTTCCAGGCGCCGTCCAGATCGGCACGGCTCGACGCGACCACATCACGGGACCGGCGCTTCTCAGCATGTGACCAGGGCGCGCGCGTTGTGAACTTTGACGGTGGCCTGCGCGGACGAGCACAGAGGCGGGGTCGGCTCGACTTCGGCCGTGCGAGACACATCTTATACCTCGCAGGACGCTGAGGAATGCGAAGATAGTGTTTGGTGACGTAGTCCTACCGTACAGCAGCGTCTAAAGATACAGCATCCAGGTCCATCTCGCCTGCTCCTTCGCATAACGCGCCGGCATCAGAACTTGAATACCTGCGGGAAGAAGAAGCACGTAAGTACGAGCTCGACGTGTCGCGGCATGCGATAGAACGCACCTGGTCCTCGGTATACCCGAGATCCTTCAAAATTCCGCTCAACGTGCCCTGCTTCATCCCATCTTTCTTTCCCGCAAGCGCGCTCACCTGCCCAGGCGGGCCTGCACAGACAGTTATCAGCATGCATGGAGGCAAATCTGCGAGCCATGGGACGCACCGCAGACGAAGACTTTGACCTTGTCGCCGAGTGTCGCGGGGGCAATGTTCTGCTTGATCATCTCCCGGTTCACGTATCCCTTGTATCCTGCCGGCCAACGTCCGCGGTCGCGTCAGTCGACTTGCATGCACCCACCTGCGAGCCATGACGTACCTTTCCAGTTTGATCCGGGCTGGTCAAGTGTGTAGATGACGTTGAACGTGTCGGGGTGCGCCTTCTTCAACGCATCAAACTCTTCGCGGAGCAGGATGTCGCGCTCGCTGATGTTGGCGAAGATGAGTGTAAACTTGGTCTTGTTCGATGGGTCCTTTAGCGCGTATTCCAGGATCTGGTACATCGGCGTGCTGCCATGAGGATTAGCGATGTCGCATGAGACGTAGGCACACTCGCTTACATGCCGGTACCGCCCGCGATCATGCCCACTTGGTCATGCTCGTTAACTGAGAAGCATCTCATCAGCAACCGCCACACTCCAACTGACGCACCCACTTACTCTTATACGGAATCTTCATAATGGGCCCCTTGATTGCGAGCTTCTCGCCGGGCTTCAACTCATATATGTACTTGGACATCCTGCCGTTGTCATAGTGCTTGATGAGGAAGTTGAGCTCGCCCTCCTGTTCAGGAGGGGATATGGGGGTGTATGGACGGATGATGGGCTTGCCCTTCTCGTCATTGAGCGGGTGGGGCGAGTCCTCGGCGGACTTGACGACCACGCAGGAGGCGATGGGCAGGAGGGACGCATGGCCATCGGGGAGCTCGAAGACGTACCTGAGGCGCGAATGGGGTCAGAGGCACGTGCATGAAAGAGGGGAGGGACAGGCGCACTTGGCAGTGTTGTGGTTGTAGGGTTCGACGTGCTTGAGTTTGAACTCGACAAAGTTCTGGGGGTCGAGCGGGCTCTTTTGCTGAGCCTTCGATGTTGCGGCCTTCGCACTGAAGTTGATATAGACGTAGGCCGCAAGGCCCACAAGACCTAGCAATAGGTCGGCTCGGATGCGAAAGAGTGAATGCCTAAACACTGACCTGCACCACCGAGGTAAAGAGGGAGATTTGAGGGCTTGCTCGGGTCAGCGGCAGTCGCGTAGCGGCGACGAGCCGAAGCACCGATCTGGGATCGCTGGGGGTGTAGTGATGTTACAGCAGCACTGCTAGTGGATGAGTAAGCTGCACTTACGATCGCGCGGGAGGAGGAGGCAGCAGCACGAATGAAGGACATGGTCGCTCAGAGGCAAGCAGCAGCGAGGCGGCCGCACTCAACGTGCTCGGACTTTGCACGCGAAATGACGCGAGCGCTCGGCGGTTAGACGCCGGTCGCGACTGGGCTGAGTCGCGTGCGCCGTTGCTCTCGACGTCTCTCTCTCTGTGCTGCACCCTGACGGCGCATCCAGCGACTACGTTGCCATTAACACGTCCGCCAACGTGCAGCGCGTCGGGCGTGGTGGGGGAGGCAGGCGGCACAAGTTGGGTCTCGCCGACGGGGAACACCGAGGGTCCCTTTCGCGCGTAACATCGTCGACGTCATCACCCGCTGCGCTCGGTTATCACTTCTCAGCGTCCGAAATATTCCGTCAAAAGCGAGAGACTCCTGCGCACGATTGCCGATGCAAAACAGAGCATGCAAACGATGGAGAGAGAAGCGGGGGTCAAGGAAGAGGAGCACATGATCGAAAACGCGATCGGTGGCGTTCTGATGCTTACATAAGCAGACGCGAAGGGGGTCACGTCTCGCGTGCAATTAGGGCTTGCTTCACTCGTCGTCTGCCTTTTCTCTTCTCGTCCCCCCTCTCGACTCTCCTCACCGTGGCCAGCGTCAACGCCGACGCACGACAATCCCAACCCCCATTCTTCCTTCGCCAGCCGACATGTCCTTTGTCAAGCTCAGCATATTCGGCACCTCCTTCGAGGCAAGTTCACTCGTATCTCTCATCGATCACCAGGAATCGCGCCCTTGAACTCGTCGCTGACCCTCGCATGCTGATTACAGGTCACCACTCGATACGTGGACCTCCAGCCCGTTGGAATGGGTACGCATTCACACTTATCCCCTTCTCCTCTTCTGCTGACATGGATCAAATCTAGGGGCCTTCGGTCTTGTATGGTTCGTGCATTTTCCTTCCCAACCAGAAAATACCACTAACTCTCTGCCATACAGTTCGGCAAAGGACCAGCTCACGGGTTCCTCCGTCGCTATCAAGAAGATTATGAAGCCCTTCAGCACTCCCGTCCTCAGCAAACGCACCTACCGCGAGCTCAAACTCCTAAAGCACATACAGCACGAGAATGTTCGTGGCGTGCCTTTCACCTGCATGTATTCTCTAACCTCCTTCTGCAGATAATCAGCTTGAGCGACGTCTTCATCTCTCCCCTCGAAGACATGTGAGTTCCGCGCACGCCCCAATTGCCTCCGCACCCCTCCTAACGATTACGCGCCCACAGCTATTTTGTCACCGAACTCCTCGGCACGGACCTTCACCGCTTGCTCACCTCGCGCCCCCTCGAAAAGCAGTTCATCCAGTACTTCCTGTACCAGATTCTTGTACGTACGCGCGCTTCGTGCTGCGGGCACATGTCATTAACTGCCTCTTTCAGCGAGGTCTCAAATACGTGCATTCTGCCGGCGTCGTTCATCGTGATCTGGTCAGTGCCGCCCAGTCGCACTCCAGTGCCTAGCGCGCTAACGTACCTGCGCGCCACCGCAGAAACCCAGCAACATTCTCATTAACGAGAACTGCGACCTCAAGGTGTGTATGCACCCGGCAGCGCGTATATGCCACCCGCTCACCCAACTTTTCGCATCGCGCAGATTTGTGACTTTGGCTTGGCGCGGATCCAGGACCCTCAGATGACCGGCTACGTCTCGACGCGGTATTATCGCGCCCCCGAGATCATGCTCACCTGGCAGAAGTACGACGTTGCGGTCGACATCTGGAGCGCAGGCTGCATCTTTGCAGAGATGCTTGAGGGCAAGCCGCTCTTCCCCGGAAAGGACCGTGAGTGCTCGTAATGCTCTCTATTACGGCACAGCCATGTTCTAACTGATCGCTGCCCCCCTGCAGACGTGCACCAGTTCTCCATCATTACCGAGCTGTTGGGCACGCCCCCGGAAGATGTCATCCAGACGATTGCAAGCGAGAACGTGAGTGATCAGACGCGCATATGGTCCGGTGTATATTGATTTCGCGTGGCTTGTATAGACTCTCCGGTTCGTGCAGAGCCTACCAAAGCGGGAACGCGTACCCTTTAGCGAGAAGCTCACCTGCAAGGATCCAGTCGGTGCGTGCTCGGTTTCACCTCCATCTTATCTTATCCGGTGCTGAAGATTGCATGTTCATCTGCCTGCAGCCATCGATCTCCTAGAGAAGATGCTCGTGTTTGACCCGCGGAAGCGGATCAATGCGACCGAATCGCTCGCACACGAGTACGTCGCGCCGTACCACGACCCGACGGACGAGCCAGAGGCGGCAGAGAAGTTCGACTGGTCGTTCAATGACGCGGAGCTCCCGGTAGACACGTGGAAGGTCATGATGTACAGCGAGATCCTCGGTGCGTCATCTACCCTTGTTTCATCTCCTCGTGGCCGGATGCTTCGTGCTCACACGACGCCCATTGCAGACTTCCACCAGGTAGGCGACTCGCGTCTGAACGACGGCGTGCCCGAGGGCGCGCTCGCGGCACCTGAAGACACAGCGACGGCCAGCACCGCCGTCGCTGCGACAGCAGAATAGAGTGCCTGCTGCCGCCCGTCGCATATGCTTACACCCGTGCCTTGCCAAGCACGGGCCACGCTCCTTGACACACCCTCACGACTGACGTTTTTGCGATCTACACATCGCCTGTATTCCCATCCACGACGACGTCCGTGCTCTCGCCGTTACCGTACTATATCGTATCCATAGGCCCGATTTGTGTATAATGCTCTCCCCGGCTGTCCTCGCTCTGCTCTCTTCACGCGGACCTGCTGATTGTATCGATTGGAACCCAAGTATACGAATGGGTGGAAGGAAAGGAGACGTAGCTACGTATACGAGGAACGTTGTCGTATTGCTGGGCTCTGTGCGTGTCGGTTCGCGCGTTGTGTTGTTCAAGAAATCAGTATAGATACGCAAGGCGATGAGGATGTGTAATGCGTTGTTTGGGATTGAAAGGACGGGCTGTGTTATATAAGTACATGGTATAACATTCACAGATGTACACATGGCTATGTTCACAATGCTCGTCCAGCACACAATGTGCTGCCTTGTTGTTTAAGTGTGTGCACCCATCAAGTCGCCGCCTCCGTTGCATCTGCATCAATATCAACAAGGTCCTTGCCTTCCTCAACCATATCACCCTTCTTGCAATTCACCGCCTTCACAACCCCCGCCTCGGGCGCCCGCAAAACCGTCTCGGTCTTCATACTCTCCAGCACAACAACCGGATCGCCCTTCCGGACCTTCTCACCGACCTTGACGCGCACCTCCACGACCAAACTCGGCATCGGCGCCCGCAGCGCACCGCGCGTCGCACCGAGGCCGTCCCCGCCGAGCGAGCGCAGCCACGCAGGCGCGGGGAGGGAGACCGTCGTCTTGTGCGCACCGTGGAACACGT